ATGTGTCATAGAATGAAGACATTTCACACTTTCTACAGTCAGGATATCGTTGGTGACATAATAGTAATAACAATTTATTCATAGTAAAATATTTAACATTTCGATATATAAACGAAAAACAATGATTTTTTCCTCTAAGCGCTTTGATCCATTTGATTTTCGAGTTGTTCATATTCACGTTGAAGAGATTTGAGTGTTTCTATGACGATAAATAAATATAGATAGTTCATATAGTTTATTAAACATGAGAAAAAGCAGATAAATATTCATTTCAACATATAATGTGCTCTACTGTTTTTTTTTGAATAACTTTTTATAGGAACATCATAGAGACCTGCATTTTTCATCGTTCATGAGAGAAGATTCGAGGCCACCGAAATTTGGTTGATCAGCAATTGGAACAATCAGGTGAGATTTTCGTTAAGATTTTCGAAAACAATATTCTACAACTATTTCTCTTTCGATCTACACAAGTCCGACATTCCTAGCTTGTTTCCTTCGAGAGTTCTAAAGCTTTTCCTGCAATCTCCGATAAAGCAATTCATCATGCTGAGCCGAGTGTTGATATTTGTTTTTAGATTCTAAATGATTTGTATCTATTATGGCAATATTTCTGAAATTCCACAATCAGCCTCTATGTAATGAAGAAGTCGACGCTTCGAAAATATTGAGAGGACAGTGTTAAATCATTTCAGATCTAAAGACAAATATTACTGTTTGACTCAGCATGATGAATTAATGTTGCTTAGCTACTTTTCTGAGTGATTGCAGGAAAAATCTTATAACTTTCGAATGGAACAAGCAAGGAATGTCGATCTTGTCTAGATTGAAAAAGAAGAATTTTTCTACCAATTAGTCCTATTAAAAGTCTAAATCGAAAGGTAAATAGCTTCAGAATATACCGTTTTCGACAATCTCCAGCAAGAACTGATCTGATTATTCAATTTCGGATCAATCAAGTTTCGATATAATTCGATGACCCCAAGTCTTCTCTCTTGAATGGTGAACATCACAAGTCTCTATGATGTTCCTACTAAAAGTTATTCGAAAAACAGTGAAGCACATCATACTTTGAAATAGATAGTACATACCTTGACAATTTTTAAGTGCACTTGGGATATCACCTTTGAAAAATACTAAACTACCTGGCTGTTGAACATAGACTTTCTTAAAAATTTGAATAAATAAAATTCTCAATAGAACAAATTAAAAAGAATACAGAATGCATACACGTCCTGGTTTTAATGTTTCAAGTTCATGTCGTAGAACATTAGTAACTTGAATCTATATATGCAAAACAAAAAAAATCTTAAGTTACAACCTACTTTTTATTTTGTCTACAAATAGAAAAAAAATTACGACTTACTTTCGTTTGAATATTTGAATTTGATGAAGACATTATAGAAAATTATTTTTTTTTATTTGTCTAGAAAATATGACTTTGTTTTATCATCCATTCGGCAAATGTTTTTTATCCTTGTATTTATTTCATCATTACATATAGTTTTATTGAACAAAAAAATAGATAACATCAACAAAAGACAAAAAAATATGTGTCATACAAAAATAAATACTTTATTAAATGGTATAACAAAAGAGACAATGAACTTGATTAAATCTTTTGCTTTTATTTGACTTTAGACTTTTTAGCTGAACCAGCACCGGCTTTGCCTTTTGCTTTATTATCAGATGTTGGACCAGGTTTACGTTTAAGACCTTTATTAGCAGCTATTGGACTTTCCTAAAAATAAATATAGAAGAAAGGATTTATTGGTATTTTTATTTTAAAGTTTATTAATATAATCACTTACGACTTTTTTAACAGTTGGTACTGCTGTCGAAATAGTACGAGCTACTGAAAAGAATGTATCAAGACGACCTTGTTGAGTTGTTGATCGAGCTTTCATTAATTTTTTTGAACCATTACGAATACGATCTTCACTAGAATCATCAATAAATATGTTTTCGATATTTTGAAATTGATAAATTGTATTTATATATATATATATATAGTTTTATGTTGTTGCAGGACATCTATTCGATAGATGGCTTACATTAACTAGTTTTTCTTTCTTAAGAGTTGAATTGATTCTTTATTTTTTTACATTGTATTTATATTTTTCTTCATTGAAAATCTTTTTCCTTTTTTTTTTTATTCCTTATATTTATTTCATCGCACTATCGCACAGATGCAAAGAACAGCCAAAAAAAAAGAAAAAAAGAACATGATGATATTAACGCTTTGTCGTCCCCTATTCGTCATTGGAGCTTTTTTCCGATTTTTTACCCGGCTTACTTACTCATTCTCCCTTCTCTACTATTCTCAACCTGATGAATCATACTATGCTTTGTTTTTCTCTTTCTAGAAAAAAAAAAAGTATTATTGTATATAAGCGACGAAATTACACTCTCAATAGTCACATTTCCCTTATAACTCAATCGTGCTTACAAAACAAAAAAAGATAAAATGACTTCTACTTATTATGTTAAAGTATATTATACAAAACAACAACAACAACAACCTGAAATTCGTCGATTTATAGTAAGTATATTTTAAATAAATTTTTTCAATAAAAATAAAAAATCTCAATATCTAGATTGATATTTCACCAAATAATGATATTTATCAAGAATTATGTACAAAAATTGCAACATATCAACCTGATATACAATTAAATGGTTTTACACTTCAATATATTGATGAAGAAAATGAACGTATTACATTTAGTTCAAATGATGAATTACGTTCAGCTATATTATCAAATAAAGATTCTAATGCTCTTAAAATTTTTGTTACTAATAATCAATCAATAAATCAACAAGAATCAACAATAAATAAAGAATGTCATAATGGTGTTGAATGTGATAATTGTAAAGGTTCAATTATTGGTTTTCGTTATAAATGTGTTATATGTCCAAATTATGATTTATGTGAAAAATGTTCATCATCAGGTATTCATTCAGAACATAATATGATTAAAATAAGTAAACCAGGAAATTTTTATCATCCATATGGTTCACGTTGTAGTTATCGTCGTTATCGTCATATGTTACCACCATCACCATTTATACCAAATACAGAATTTTTTGAACAAGTTCAAACACAAATTCCACAATGGTTACCTAATAGAGAAAATACAGCACAATTTCGTACTCAAATGCAACATCATTTTAATAATATTAAATCTAATACACAATCACATATGCAAAATTCAAAACAATATCTTGAAAGTGTTGGTCAATATTTACAACAATCATTATCACCATTTGGTATTGATTGTGATTATCATGTTGATGAAAATACATCATCAACAACAAATAATGAACAACAAACATCAACAAATGAAAATACAAATTCATCAGAACCAAGTACTGTACCAAAAAATTCAAATACAGATAATCAACAACAACGACAACAACAAAGAGGAATTTCATCATTATTAAATATGTTTCGTACTAATGGAACAACTTCACCAACAGCATCAGCAACTGCTTCAAATAATACATCACAATCATCATCAGCAGAAAAAGCAGTAGAAGAATGTGTTGAAAAAATGAAAGCAATGGGATTTAATGATAAAGATGAAAATCTTCTTCAACTTATACGTTCAAAAAATGGTGATCTTATTTCAGTTCTTGATGAAATGAGTGTACGTTTAAATGAAAATTAATTAATCAAATCATTAATAATGATTTGTAAACATTATCATTCATTTTTTTTTTTTTCATTTTTTTCATCCATATTATTTATTCAAATCTATTATATTTGTAAATTATTCATTTATCTTTTTTTTTGTTTTCGATTCATAAAAATAAATCTGAAAGCCAAGCTTACTCAAGAAAAAGAGTTTGACGTCTGATGTCCTCGATAGCTAGGATATGTAATGGGTAGGAGTTGCAAAATTTCGACTTAAAACTTACACTCACTATTTTCTTCTACAATATATGTGATTTCCATAATAATAAAATTATTTTTGTATTGCTATTGAATACGAATGGTTGTTATATAGATGGATATTTGTATTGGGTAATAGTAGGAAAATATTTAGGATTTTTGTGAATGTTTATCGAAAGCATTGCCTATGAACAGTTGAGGAAAAGCCTATTTCTTTTTATGATTGTTTTATTATTAGTATGCAAGATGTATTAAACAGTTCTTCGTAATAAAAGACTATCCTTAATTAGTTAACTTCTTGCAAAATTGGAAATTCAATTAGTATATTTACATCAAAATATACCTAGTTTTTAGGGTTTTTGAGCTAAAAAAGTTTCTTCCTAAATTCTAAAAAAATGTTTTAATTGTATGAAAAACTATTCCAAAATTAAAAATCATGAATATAAATAACACATAATAGAAAACTCGTCTGAAAAAATTCGCATGATTGAATACAAATTTTTCTAGATGAGAGCAATGTTTACAGTGTAGAGTTGTAGAATAACTCATTTGGTTAAAGATATATTTCTATACAAGGACAAAACTTCATTCATAGCGCTTTCAATAAAATATTTTTTATCATTTCTTAGGATGTTCTATGTTTTTAATGTCGATTCTCCTGCATATCATTCGTATAAAATATCTTTTTATTTCTTTAATATAAATTCTTTAAAATTTTACTTACGAAAAACCTTTTCCATTAACCATATATGATACAAGACCTTCTTCATCTGGTTCAGTCCATTTAATCTAAAATTCGATAGAAAAATTTCAAACAAAATAAACATCAAACAAAAAAACGACGAACATCAGTTGCTTCAGCTGGTAAAACATCAGGTTCTTTAAATAACTGTCTTGCTTGTTCATAAGCCCAATCTTCAGGTACAGCATATTTCTATTTAATTAAAAAAAAAAACAAAAGAAAAATTTTTAATTCAAAGATATTTTATTAGATCTACTTTTTTATCGATATGTTTAAGAATAGTTTCAATATTACGATGTTGTTTAATTAAATCAAGTGCACGTTTTTGTCCAATACCTTTTATTGAATCACAATAATCACAACCAAGTAATATACATAAATCAGTAAACTAAATAAAAACAACAGAAAATAAATTAAATGATATCCAGAAAAAAAAGGAATATTCATACTTCTTCAAAATTAATTCCTAAATTTTGAAGAATTTTCGATAATGAATATTCACGAATAGGCATTTTCCTATAAATTCAAATATCAAAATTTTCTCTTATATATATATATATATAAATTATATGTAATTAACCGTGCTTCACTAAAAGTCAAATGACGCACAAGTACATCAGCACCAAATGTCAAAGCCTAAATATAAGGATAAAACAAAAAATAAAAAACAAATAAAAAGAACGAAGGTAGATAAGACCATTTTTCTGCTCCACAAAAAAATTGATATTTTTTTTATCGATTTGCAGTAAGTCATGATGCTTCATAATATTCTACATGTTAGTTTTTTGAAACCCGAGGTTCGCTGCAAAAAGGTTTTATCTTTGATTCTGTGAAATGTGTATTTTTGGATAGAGTCAAGTACACTGATTAAGAATATCAGTATATTGAATGCTTAATACTTTTTGATGAACAAGAAAAAGAATCCTTTTTTTGAAGTACTGCTTGAACTTTATATTCAGTTTTTCGCTCATGTATCTTGTCGATTGATTATTCTAACGTTATGAAAAAAGATTTGTAATAGCTAAAACAACGTAGTTTACTCAAATATGAAGTATAAAAAGTTTTTTGCAACACGATCGGTTATGAAAATTCGGGTTATTATTTCAAAATTTGTTTTTTTCCATCTCTGATGGTAACTAGAAGTTTCAAAATCTCATCATAAAAGACTAGAATCAATGTGAAATTTGCACTGAATACATCGTTTTCAATGTTTTGTATGGCCGTAGACTCAAAAAGTCAAATAGAATAGCGCGTGAAGATTTTGGAGAGTTGTCTGAAAAACATTTCCAGAAACTTAAGAATTTCAGTGAAAACCGAGTTCACCATTGTGTTCGGCATATCAAATAACCTTTTTTAAAAACTTTTAAACTATTAATGTAATTATTTTTTAGACTTTACTCATTTCGATTAGATTATATCATTTACACGGTTAATTACAAAAATGCATATTTCGATTTGGTATATCGAAAATATTTGGTGTATTATGAAGCTGCGTACCAAGGTTATTTAATATGCTTAACACGATGATGAGAACGGTTTTTATGAAAACACTTAAAATTCCAGAAAGCTTTTTCAGAGAGCTTTCAAAAACTTTGATGCATCATTGTATTAGACTTTTTTGGGTCAACCATCAGATAGAGCATTGAAAATGAAGTGTTCAGTACATATTTCACATTACTTCTAGCCTCCCGTGATGAGATTTCGAAACATTCAATCTTCGTTCGAGATGAAGAAAAGCAGATTTTGGCTTAATAATCTGAATTTTTGTAGCCGATCATGTTGCTAAAGAACTTTTATACTTCATATTCGAGTGAACTACGTTACTTTAGCTATGATGAAGTTTTTTTCATGTAAAAAAAGACTTTCAATACTCAATATACTGGTATTCGTCATCAGCGTACTCGACTCTATCAAAAAATTTACGTTTCAATAGAACCAAAGATAAAAATTTTTCAATAATCCTTCTGCAGGATCTCGGATCCCAAAAAAACCTTTTGATGAGCTGTATAAAAGCTAACATGTGAAATATCATGAGGTATCATATCTTACTACAAAACGATTTTAAAAAAGTCAATTTTTGTTTGTGAGTCAGAAAAATAGCCTTATCCACTCTCGTCCTTTTCATTACATCCATATCTTCAGTTCCAACGCCATAAACTTTTCCTTGTTTAACAAGTGCTGCACATTCTTAAATAAAACAAAAATAGGATAATCATTGAATAGAAGAAAATAAATAAATAAATCTTACGTGCTTCAGCTTCCGTTGGTGCATCAACAAAGGGTACACCCATTAATTTTAATAAATGTTTACAATCTTCATTATGTTCTCGAGTTACTTTAACAGTTCGACGAACAAATTTATCAAATGCTTCTTCATCACCTTAAAAAAAAAAAAGAAAGAAATATTATTTTTTCTAAGAAAATTTTCTATTCTTTTTGATATCAGATATTTATTTACCAGCATCAGCTGCTTTAGTCATTTCAGCTTCAGCTTCAGTACGTCGTTCAAGACGTTTTTCTAATTCTTTTGATTTCATTTGTGGTGGTTTTCCATCAAATACATAAACTGGTTTAATACCATTTTCAATCATACGAATTGTTCGATAGAACATGCCCATTAAATGACTAGTTGTTTCACCACTATCATTTGTTAAATTTTCACCATTTTGTCGAACAGCAATTAGAAATTGATAAATAGACATTGAACTATTATATAGAAAAAATTTACAACAAAATAAACATTTATATCATTGAATAATTAACAGATCATATTTTTAAAAGCTATTCAAAGTTCGAATTCTCACGACACGAATTATCGTCACTCGTACTCAAACGATTAAATTTACGGTTCATAGATTTTTTTAGACTATTGCAATTGATTAGTTCCATGAATTAACAGACATCTTCCCAAGACGAACATGACAAATTTTCAGGCACGATGAATATCTTCTTATATATATTAGTCATTTGAATCAATTATTTTTCGAGATTGAACTTCAGATGATGAATTCTATCTAAGATCATTGTTTTTATAAAAATGATATGGAATATATAATTAAACACGAAATTGGAGTTTTTATAGAAACTATACTATCGATTTGCAAATTTTACTATTCTTACTTAGTTTTCATCAGATATTAATTGATTCTATCGAAATGTATTTTTGATATTGAATAATAAAAAAAAAAAAACTCGATTGTATTAAATAGTTTACTTATGACTTACGCATCGACAGCAATTTTTCTTCCAAAATAATTTGCCATTTCTCCTTCTTTGATAGCTGCCGGTGCTTGATCAGCAATTAATTTTGCTAAATTATGAATTCCCATTATGTATATCAATCTCAAAGCAAACAAAAACAAAAAAGAGAACGATTAGATTGAAAAATATCGATAATAGAGTTCAAATCATTTGTTCTATTTGAAATATTATTATAACAAAAAAACAGAAAAATGAAAACAATTAATTCGTTGAAAATTTTATTCCTTGTTGTCCTATATTTTTTCCTTCATATCGAATTTTTCCATATGTAAATGGTACATATTTATAATGTATCATATGTATTATACGTTGTCTCATTGATAAAAGAAATAATATAATAAAGTATATTAAAAGTATAGGCCAAAAAACTGGAATATCCATTATTGGAAATAGTGTTAAAATGAAACTAATAATTAATGCTTTAAAAGTTATATACCAAAATTTAAATTCTGGCAACCGACGCATAAATGGTCGAAATTCATCAGTTGATTTTGTTGGTAAATTTGGTATATTATCATCTTCATCAATATTAGATGGTGATGGATCAAATTTAGGTGTCAAAAAAAGTATAAGTTGATTCAATAAAAATATTCCAAGACCATATGCTATTATATAGAAACCTTGTAGATATATAATTCGAAAGAACAAAATAATTAATAAAAATAAATTAAATAACCAACGATAAATAGTAAATGGTGTTATACGATCAAGATAATATTGAATAAATGTTTCCAATCGATTAAAACTTGAAACGTTTTTATTTGAATCCATCTTCAAGAATTTCATCAAAGTTATGAAAGATATTCCAATATAAAAATTTTTTGATTGGTGAAAATGATAGAGGACGCTAAAAAATTTCTGTTCCATAAAAATTTTATATTTAATACAAAAAAGAAAGAAAGTTTTTCTAAAATTTATTTTTTATTTTCAAACAAACAAAAATCTACACTATCATTTATATTATACAAAGATGAATGATATGAATTTCAGGGTCCCTTTTAATCTATTCATGACAATGTAGAATCGTAGCATTAAAAATCTTATTGCTAACTTTTTCTTTCGAAATACAATTTCAACATAATTGAAGATTGCTTTATTTAACGTATGACGATCATCTACATTGATATAAAAAATAAAAAATTTTTTCTCTTCCGGGTTTGTATTGTCTTTTCATTTGTACTTGCATTATATGGATGTTGTTTTGTATGTATTTGTTTATGTGTGTACCTTCATCACGTTATTACCACGTGTCTTTTTTCGTTGTAGAGAAATTCTTTACTATTATTGTTCGATCGCTACAAATAATAAAAAAATAATAAAACAAAAAATCAAGATATATAATGGATTGGTCGAAAGTTTTGAGATAAAATATTTGTTTATTTTTGGCTTCCTTGAAAATCTTTTCGAACATAGGATCAGAATTTTTTTGAGATCAATAAGATAATCTGTTGAAAAGTTCAAATAATAGTTTGGATGAATAATTTTTCCGTACACTTTTGTACTTTCATATTTATAACTCGAAAGTAAATATTGACACCTTTTATAATATATTAGCTTGTAGAGCAGAAGTGATCCTACAAAATGTATTATTGCAGTGTTTTTTTTTCTACAGGTCACTTCAAATTTCATTTCTCTTAAATCTTCATTTTTAAAAAATCAATTCTTTGGCCAGAAGGTATTCTACATAGAAAGATGCTCTTGGCAGAGTGTTTATAGTTTCAATTAGATAATAGCCACAGGTTGATCGCTTTTAAACTGGAACTATATTCAATCAATAAGGTCTAGTCCTTAAGTAAATACTCTTGAGTGATTCGAGCTGCTAAAACTTAGCCTACATAAAAGCACCAATTAAATTAGTTTGTAGAAAAATTTCAGAATTTTTTCAGTCCGTCTCTAAGATACAAGTTTTTTAAAATTGACGCCCTTTGTCATGATTATTTTGAGAAAATTTATATCTTGAAGATACTTGATCATAAAACTCTGAAGTTTTTTCTATAAGCTAGTCTAATTGATGCTTTTATGTCGGCAAAGTTCCAGATCAAACTTCAAAAGTAAGATTTCGCTTAAAAACTGTCACTCCATAAAACAAATCCACTAAATATTTAAAAGCGATTTATCACTTGGGAACCTTTCTTCGTTAATTTACTATAAAATTTTGTAAAGAAGTGTCCGTTCGACAAAAACAATTGCCTCAAATATCTTGTGGCATATTTGAAACAGGAATTTAATGAAGATTAGCGAAAGCCTATTGGTTCCATCATTGAATCTAATTTTTTGAACGTTTAAAAAATTTCTTCACTAATCTCGAACAAAAACCGAAATAAAAATTTCTAAGTCTATATTCAGAAAGTGAACAATATACTGATCACAATCCATAGCTTTTAACTCCTTGGGAAAATACTTTCAAAAGAGGCCAAATACAAACAAATATTTTGTCTCGAATATTTCAATTCACCTACATTCAAATTAAATATTTAATAATACATTTTAATCATATGTATGATCTATTGTGGTCGTTTTTTTAGATCATGTCTAAATTAGATCTTGGTGACGTTTGTGAACGCTTTTTATCATCGCGTTTACTAAAACAAACAGAATCTTCATTCTGTAAAAAATCATTAAGTAATGAATATATTGCTAATGAACATAAATATCATACTATCTTAAGTCAAAAATTATTATTTAAACCATATAAAAAAAATCCTTTAGACCAACTACGTAAACGTTATTCAAATATTATTATACCAATAACTAATGATATTAATACAACATCATGTAATAATAATCAATCAATAACTCATAATAATAATAATAATAATAATAAATCATCATTAATGATGAATTGGCAATTATTAAAAGATCGTGGTTCAGGTTTAATTAATCTTGGTAATACATGTTTTATCAATGCATCATTACAATGTTTAGCAAATACACCACCACTTGTTCAATGGCTTTTATCAAATTCTCATCATCAACATTGTCGTATAAAATTAGAAAAACAATTTTGTTTATTTTGTGAAGCTGAACGTATTGTTAAATTAATCCATACAAAAAATTCATTTACATCATCAATAAGTCCAGCTAATCCAAATAATATTGTACGACGTATTAAAGATATATCAAAAACATTTCGTTGTGGTCGTCAAGAAGATGCTAGTGAATTTTTAATTTGTTTAATTGATAAAATTATTGAAGCATGTCTTCGTTCATCACAACCACCTGAACGTTTACGTCCATCATCTGGTACATCATATGAACAATTATGTCATTCACAAACATTTCTTCATGATTTATTTGGTCTTGTTTTACGTTCACGTGTTATATGTTCACGTTGTCATTATACATCAGATACATTTGAAGTTCAATATACATGGATTGTTAGTGTACGTAATCATTCGGATTTACGACAATCATTACAACAATTTGTTTGTCATGAAAAATTATCAGGTGAAAATTTATATCGTTGTATTAAATGTAAACAATTAGTACCAGCTATAAAACATTATACATTACATAAAGCATCAAAAATTTTATTAATTAATTTAAAACGTTTTGAATTTGGTAAAAATTCACATAAATTATCACATCTTGTTCGTTATCCTGAATATTTAAATGTTAAATCATATATGAGTGAAGAAAATTCAAATAATCAATCATTAAATTATCGTTTATATGCTGTTTTAGTACATGTTGGATCATCAATGCATTCAGGACATTATTATTCATATGTACGTTCACCAAATAATCGTTGGTATAAAGCTGATGATACAACAATGACACAATGTGATTTAAATCATGTTTTAACACAACATGGAGCTTATATTTTATGTTATATTAATGAAACAGAACCATCATTAACGAATAATTTAATAAATGGAACAACAACAACAGCAACAATAACAAAAAATAAAAATATTTATCAAAATGGTAAATTAAATCATAGTAAACAACAATCGAATACACTAATAACAAATTCGAAGTTTTTTACTCCACGTCAAATACCTATTCAAAATCATCCTCGACAAAGTATGTGGAAAATTTATAATGTAGTTTAATCTATTCTTTACATGATAAGGAAAGAAAACAGCAGTGTTTATAACCCATCGAGTCTAAAATTTTCGGATCCGAACTCAATTCATTGAACGTTTTTGGATCCGACAGACTCTAGCGGTGTTCGACTATAGTTTAATACCGAATACTTGTATCAATATGTCGACGATTTCTAATTATTGAAATGAAAGCGTGTAAACGTGAAAATTCTCAACAATAAGTATCTGGTTGAATGAATCCTCGATCTGAGATTGAAGGCATTACAATATGGAAAATAAAATATTGTGAAAAAAAATTTTCAGATTGATGGCAGAACCCATTGGGTCCAACTCGGATTCGGGTCTAAAAGTTTTGAATCGACTGGATCAGTGTCCGAATCCAAAATTTTTTGGATGCGATGGACTCTTCCCATAAAGATTAACTAATCAGGTTTGAATTCAAAATTTTGATCGACCGGGCCCGAGTCCAAAAATCCTTGGATCCGATGGGCTCTAACTGGCGGTCAATATTTTAGTTGTTTCAGCACTAAACTTCAAAAAACACCTGTAGTATTCTAGGAGATAAAACGATTTCAAAAAAAAAGACCGAGGTGTTAAGGTTCGATTTACTTCGAATTTCTTATCACTTTCAAAACACAAGAAATTAATTTTAAATTTCATGTCTCTGTCTATGACCTATGTTATACTACTACAGTATAATGATAATCTTTAACAAGACAGACGGAGGATCTACTGTTACTTTATATCTATTGTTCATTCGAAAACTGTTTGATATGCATATCATCAGGTTTTGTAGAAACTCTATCGACGTATCCGAGGATAAACTACAAATGGATGGATTTGATCTCGTTTTAATTGAAATAAAATTTTGTCTAGTAAATGGACTAATTGGACATACAAAGTCTAAAATTGAATCATCGAACACAAATTCAACTAATAGTAATGGTATTGTATCAACCGAAAAACGGCAACCAATTGTAATGAACATTCCGAAATCTTCTTATCAATTAAATCAGGTA